GTTTGCACAGTTATGTGTGTGTATGTGTGTGTACAGGTATGTGTGTATGTTTGTGTGTGTGCATGCTTGTGTGTGTGTGTGTGTGTGTGTATGCTTGTTTGTGTGTGTGTGTGTGTGTGTGTGTGTGTGTGCGTGCGTGTGTGTGTGCATGCGTGTGTATGCATGCATGCTTGTTTGTGTGTGTGTGTGTGTGCTTGTTTGTGTGTGTGTGTGTGTGTGTGTGTGTGCACGTGTGTGTGCACGTGTGTGTATGCATGCTTGTGTGTGTGTGTGCGTGCGTGTGCGGTGCATATGGCTTGCTGACAAAGCAGCTCTGCGCGTTGTGATTTCTCCTGAGGTGCGTTGCCGTAACACAGGGCCATTACCGCTCCTCGATGGTCGGAGGGGCTCTCGCCCGAGTGGCAGCTGGGCGTGCCATGCGGCCGCCAGCACTCTGACTGATTACTGAGAGAGCGAGAGAGAGAGAGAGAGAAAGAGAGAGAGAGAGACAGAGAGAGACAGAGAGAGAGAGACAGAGAGAGAGAGAGGGTGTCGCAGTGTTATCAGCTAATACCACAGGGACACATGCACAATAGCGGTGCGCCGATACAGATGCAAGAACACCCCCCCCTCCCCCAGCCGCTGAACCGGGCGTAACAGATAGGCCTCCCAGAGAGGGAGAGGGACGAAAAAAAAGACAAAAATCTGCAAATGTCACTAATAGACCACACACGACCGCGCTCAGCCATTTGTCAGCCATCGGCGTCTTGAGTTATGAATCAATTTACTCTCAGGTCCCGGGAGGAAGAAAGAAAAAGGTCATCTCATCTAATTTCCTTTTTGGTATCTTCTCAGTGACCACTGGCATGATCTCATTAAAGTTTGCCCGAGGTTTTTGCGAATGTTGGAAAGCACAGGCCGGGCTTACGCATGGTTGTTAAGCATCGGAAGAAATTATTTCAACTTCCACGTCTTCCCTTTTTGCGTTTGTCGCCTTTGAACGCAGGAAGGCGAAGTTTACGCCATCGAGACGTTCGGCAGCACCGGGAGGGGAGCGGTGCACGACGACATGGAGTGCTCACATTACATGAAGAACTTCAACGTCGGTCACGTGCCAATAAGGTGAACGACGCTTTCTTCATTCGAGCTCAAGCGGTCTCGATATTGGAAGCAGAATATCGACTGTGGACATTATTTTTAGGTTAGATGCGGCACAGCGTATTCTCACCTTGAATTTCTGTTTCCTTTTCAGCAACCTTATTTCATTATCGGAAAGCTTAGCTTCGGCGCACGTATTTAGATTCACGTCTATATTTACTGCGGTACATTTGAAATAGGGATGGATGGATGGATGGAGGGATGTGTCATTTCTCGACCCATTCTGATGACTTCTTCTCTAATGTAGGGCTGCGACCATTAGTGGATTCAGCGATTAGTCGATCGACAGAAAAGTAAACGAATCAAATGTGTATAATGGATCAATCGTTTAGGTCATTTAGCATTAGGCTACAATTACCACACAGTTGCTGCTTGATGCTTCAGAAATTCAAATGTTTGGTTCATGGATCGTTATAAAATCAAATGAATACTTTAGTTTTTCTTGGCTGCTTGTCAGATAAAGCACATTTAGGACATGACTTTGGACTCTGGTTACTTGTTACGGCATTTGCTATTATTTATGCCATTTTCTAGACTAAATGATGAATCGAAAAAAATAATCGTCGGTATAATCGACGCTGACAGTAATCGTGAGTTGCAGCCCTGCTCTAATGTCGTGATGTCGCGTTCCCCCAGGCTCCCCAGGGCCAAGCATCTGCTGAACGTGATCAACGAGAACTTCGGCACGTTGGCGTTCTGCCGGCGCTGGCTGGACCGCCACGGCGAGAGCAAGTACCTGATGGCGCTGAAGAACCTGTGCGACCTGGGCATCATAGACCCCTACCCGCCGCTCTGCGACAGCAAGGGCAGCTACACCGCCCAGTATGAGCACACCATCCTGCTCAGGCCCACCGCCAAGGAGGTGGTGAGCCGCGGGGACGACTACTGATGATGATGACGGCGCCCGACGCACGACGCACCAGAACCAGAACCAGAACCAGGGCCAGGGCCGGAGCAACAAAGACAACACACCTCCGCCGACGGAGGACACATTATGCAATTATTACTATTACCCCATGGGCCTTGAAATCTCCCGTCGCTTGTGTCAGAAATCTTTTTAGAATCACGTTTGAGCTTTAGGACAACGAGAGGCTGCTGTCCAGGCAGTTGCTTGTATTTGTTTGTTTTTTTCAAAGGATCAAGCCAAGTGTTACAAAAAAAAACACATTGTGAAAATAAGCTTAGCGTTGTCTTAGTCTGTTATCAATTGCTGTACTGCTTTTAGAAGATATGCAAATGAAACCTATACAAAAGATTTATGCAAAAAATAAGGGCTTTGGCGAACGCCTTCCCCGTTGTTACGCTTCGATGCAAAAAATTGAATGTTATGAAACGATTTATATTACTAGATTTCTTTGCTCTATTTTAATTTAATGCCGTTTTCTAAGAAATAAATGGATATGAATCTTATGTTAAATCCTCATTCTCATTATTTCATTCTGTAAAATCCAATGTTATTCCTATTAACACACCTACAAACTAACATTTAATTATAACTTTTAGCCAACGAAGGGCGGTATTAAGCACGCTATAATTGCACCAGCCAGCCATCAGTGGCGGTGAATATATATATTCATAAAGGCCAACGATAGCCAACGGACTTAAGTATTATCTCACTATGAAATATTAAAGACACCGTGAAGGGTGAAGAATGACCCACATACTGTGCGCGTTTCCACAACACCATAAATTTGCCTCATAAACTTTACTGCACATAGGACACAAACGTAACATCATTACAAAATGTCAGAGTGCATTAGTCGCCGCAGCCTTTAATACCTCGCTGTCCTTTGCATGTACACTGCAGGCCATTATGCTCATTATAGTCGCGGTGGGAAGTCTTTGCGACAAGGACACCAGGTGATGATGATGATGATGATGATGATGATGATGATGATGATGATGATGATGATGATGATGATGATGATGATGTCATATCCGAAGAATACATCATGCCTCCACACAGGCTGTTTTCCCTGATGACCCGAAAACTATTCTTAACTTTGACCTGGCTCAAATATGGTCATCCACCCCGCTTTGGCAGCATATTTATCTTAGGGTATTAGGGGGCTGCAGAGGTGTGCGATGATCTGCTTATGCAGGACAGGACGGCCTAGTGGTTCAGACCCCAACGTCTGAAGTCTACCTGTAAGTATCCTTGAGCAAGATGCCTTAGGAGGACCAATGAAGGGGACCAAACTACTTTGTATAATTGTAATTCTCGGTCCAAAAAAAGATACGACAGGTGGTGACAACTTCGGCGAGAGTGAGAACACTTCTGTTGGCCTGCTAATGTCCTGGGACCACGGAGGAGAAAGGTCAGCGTGTCGGGCGCTTGTCCGACAGTGGACTGGACAGCAGCCCGGACAGCGGCCCGGCCTCCAGAAGTGTTCAGATTAAGAGCGGTGATTCCTTTAATGTCTTTATTTGTTTTCTTTTTTCACCCCGACTCTCCCTCCAGGAGTTGTTTGACCTGCACAGTCCCAGCCTCAGCACCAAGGACAAGCAGAGCACACACACACAGATACCAGACTGTAGAAACATTGTGAAGTTGTTTCCTTCATGATTTATGGCCAATAAAGGTGAGCACATAACAAGGATAATTTAGTCTGCGCAAGCGCCGAAAGTATATAGATGACTGAGAAACGGATATGTTTAGACATGCCACCTTCGTTCTGGGTCATTTATTTCCAAGAATAATAATAATAGCTTTAATAATAATAATAATAATAATAATTAAAACAATGTCTTCATAACTTTGTTTAATTAAGTGGTACAGTTTTGGATATAATAACATCATTTTCAATTACGTACCATCTATGTATAATATTATTTGGCCTGGATATTGTGTTATCGCCACAGATGTACTTGAGAAGGATTTTCACATAACCTGAATAAATAAATGTTTCCAAACCTACTGTGACAGCTATATTCAAATTCTATATTTAGATTGTCAGCGCCCATTTCTTAAACCACAAATTAAAAACAAACACTACACAAAAGATTGAGATCTGTCCAACCACCCATTTATCCTTCCACACACCCATCCGTCCGTCTGTCCATCCGTCCGTCTGTCCATCCATCCATCTTTTCCTCCATCCGTTCCTCCATACCTCCATCCATCCAGCTGTCCATTCCTCCATCCGTCCGTCCGCTCCCCTTGGTCCCGTGCTCCAGCCGTAGCTGAGGCCGCGGCTGGGCATGTGTTGGAGCTGGGGTCCAGGGTGTCACCGTCAGCCTGTCCTCCATTCTTCATGACCTGCCTCCACATACTCCCATCCTGGGTGGGAACAGGAGAGAACCACCTAGTCCCAAATACAAGTCTACAACCTCCACACGCCCCTCTCTATACCATCTGACAGAACAGGTGTGAGCAGTGGCTGGGGAGTGCACTAAGTGAAGGGTTCATATATTAAGAGAATTGGACAGCCCAAGTCCATTATTTGGCTAATTGAGTGGGTGTGATAATTATTGCTAAGAAGGTCAAAGCGCTGAAGGTGAAATATTGTTCAAACAAAGGACGGGCTGTAGTCTTCCAGCTGTTATTAAAGTAAACGTCCGCTCCAAAAGGAGCGGTACGAAGACGTTGGCCCCGACTCAAAGCCTTCCCCCGAGCGGAGACAAAGATCAGCAACTCAGCAGATTGTCCACGTGAGAGACAGCTAATGAGGTGCTCACCCAGGCCAGCTATTCAGCCAGCCAGCCAGCCAGCCAGCCAGCCAGCCAGCCAGCCAGCCAGCCAGCCAGCCCGGCTTCTGCACTGCGAACAATAAAGTTTTTTGCAGAAGGGCGTGATCTTTCTTTTTCTTTGTGTGACTGACCTGGGCTGAGAACAGGGCATGTCCAGGACTCCTGGCGGTCCTGACTAGCTCAACTGGTAGAGCATGACATTAAATCTGTCAGAGTTAGGGGTTCAATTCCCACTGTGACCACCCAGGCTCAAAAATGTATGCGTTGTAAGATGCTTTGGATAAAAGCATTCCACCAAATGGCGTATAGCTAGAGTGTCGTCCCTCCCTTCGCCGTCCCCATCTGGGGGGGCGTCTGGGGAAGGACCATCTTCACCTCCGCATGGGAGTCTTCATCGTGGGCCGACTCCAACGTCAGCACTACCGCGGCCAAGACAAGACGAGTACTGCAGCCCCCCGAGCTGGGAGACAATCCAAACACATTGTTTGTAATTGTGAATTGACTTTGCCTCTTATGAAATTGATCATTTCAATTGATTAAACACCATGTCCACAGTTTACTTTTCCTCCAACTGCACCTAGTCATAGTCCGTGGCGCAGAACCGTTTAGGAGAGCCAATATCCATTTCTCTGCACTGGCATTTCTCTGCGGAAAGAAGAACAAATACATCCATCAAGATCCATTCAATTCCTCTACATACAGCATGTATTCATCGAATTCTTGAATCTATTTTAACCCTGTGTGAACGGGCGTGGGTGTGAGCGTGTGTGTGTGTGTGTGTGTGTGTATATTGTGTGTGTGACTTGACCTGTGACTCACCAGAATGGTGCAGTGCAGAGAAAAGCTCCTCTAACTTAAAGAGTGCCTGCTCACTGGTGCTCATACTGCTGCCACGCCGTCCCATGTGACCGGTGGCTGTACAACAGGACCTCCACCTCCGCGCTGCGCCGCAGAGATTTATACCGACCGTCACCCACCAGCCCTTTTGCAGCAACCCTACAGAAATATATGGTGCGGCTGAACCACATGCATCACTACCTCTCGTTCTGTCTCTCTCTCTCGCTGCACTCTCTAGGCTATACATTAAAAGGCGCCGTACGGTGTGAAAGGGAGGGAAACACTGGCACTCACCCAGGAATGCAGTCGCCGGTGGAGGGATCGCAGTCCCCAGGGCTGTCGCAAAGGCTGGGGAGGAGGGCCCCTACTGGCCCTCCATTCAGCTGTTGCAGCGGGGGGGGCCAGGCCTACAGGTGCACGCCGCCTCTGTTGGGATACAGGAGGACAAGGAGGAAGATGAGGAAGAGGAGGATGAGGAAGAGGAGGAAGAGGAGGGGTAGGAAGAGGAGGGTGGGGTTAGGAGGGTTGGATTAGGAGGGTTGTGGTTAGGAGGGTTGTGTTAGGAGGGTTGTGGTTAGCAGGGTGGTCTTAGGAGGGTGGGTTGGGAGGGTTGGGGTTAGGAAGGTTGGGTTAGGTGGGTTGGGTTAGGTGGGTTGGGTTAAAGAGGGTTGGGTTAGGAGGGTTGGGGTAAAGAGGGTTGGGGTTAGGAGGGTGGGGTTAGGAGGGTTGGGGTTAGGAGGGTGGGGTTAGGAGGGTTGGGTTAGGAGGGTGGGGTTAGGAGGGTTGGGGTTAGGAGGGTTGGGTTAGGAGGGTTGGGGTTAGGAGGGTGGGGTTAGGAGGGTTGGGTTAGGAGGGTGGGGTTAGGAGGGTTGGGTTAGGAGGGTTGGGGTAAAGAGGGTTAGGGTTAGGAGGGTTGGGGTAAGGAGGGTGGTCTTAGGAGGGTTGGGGTTAGCAGGGTGGTCTTAGGAGGGTTGGGGTTAGCAGGGTGGTCTTAGGAGGGTTGGGGTTAGGAGGGTGGGGTTAGGAGGGTGGGGTTAGAAGGGTTGGGTAGGGGTGGAGGAGGTGGGGAAGGGGGTGTACCAGGACAGAAAGTCTCTTGACTTTATTCAGTGAGATAATGACATGCTTTTAGCTCTTTTTTCGTGAATATATTCATTGCAGTCACGCACTACACTTCCAGTTCCAAGACCCCAGACTAGACAAGTAAGTCCACAAGGCCCGAACAGCAAAAAACAACAATAGCATGTTTATTCATTGCGGTGCTATTAGTGTTTTGTACATGTTTAAAGCAGCGAGAGGGGAGAATGCATAATGAAACACTTGTCCTCCCTGCCACTCTCAGCCACCTGGATGTCTCTCGTAGTGATGGATTGATTTTTTTTGTGTCAGGCTTCATTTGCTTCCAAAAACGGCTTTTTGTTCTCGCTACAACTCGACCCCGAGTCAATGGGATGGGAAATCCCTCCATTGTTCACCAGTTTTCTCCAGGAGAAAAGGTCAATGTTTCCTATAATCCTACTAAGGAGGTGATCAGCGATGAGTTTTTCATTATTGGCATGGTGAGCAAAGAGGAGGAAATGCCACAAACAACACGGAGAACACGGAGAGAGAGAAACTAAACCAAAAAACAGCAACGGGGAGATCATCCTGTATTTAATCTCCACACAGTGTCTCCATTGTCCGGTTCCCTTGTGTAAAAGTGTACCTTCGGTTTTAAAGGCTAATTTATCTGGCGGCCGCTCAGATGACTCCGTCATGGTTTGGAGAGCCAGAAAGGAAATGTACTTAAAGACAGAGGCCAGTGTTCCCACTAGCTCCTCTCTCGAAGTACATTTAGTTTCTGACTCCGCTGCTAGAATCGATACGCAGTACTCCCAGAGAGAGACACACACACACAGTGAGAGCGGTGGCAGTGATGTAGGGGGGTAGAGTACAGTCGAGTCCAGTGAGGCCTTACTTATCTGCGTGAGTCCACCGCAGCGGTATTGGGTCTGCCCCGGGTCCCGGCAGAAGCCCGTCTCAGAGCTCTGGCAGCGGTGGTCCCAAAACGATCCGTTCCCATTCACATTGTGTGTCGGGCAAAGTAGGGACACTTTGCAGATTCATCTTTTACTTTGCTCATTTGAATTTGAGGGAAAAAAAGCCGCATCGTTCATCCCTGAAGTACAACGTGACAAAATGATGAAGAATCCCACGTGCCTCGCAGGGTAGGTCCATCGCTTATGCTAAAGGAAAGCCATCACTAAGGTGACTGCCCCTTGTGCTAAACTGTATTGGACCGTCTCCAACCGCGTTTACTCACTCCTGCGCTCGCGTGCTTCTCCGGGACGCTGTGGGCCGGATGCCAAGGCCGATCATTGTGAGGGAGGAGCGCCACGGTCACAGCGATGATCGCCCGCTGGGCCGCGTGTGCAGACGCACCCCCACTGTGGACCTGTCCGTCAGAAACACAGCACAACAAACAACGCAGAGATTTACATTTAGCCATTGTTACAGGCTGTTGTGTTGTTTGCGAAGGACGTTCAAGCCTTTCGACAATATCATGGGATAACCCATTGCTAAATATGTACTAGACGACATTTATCATTCAATCCTGTAGCAAAACATGGACATCGTCATTGTGTTATGTGTTTAACCCACCATTAAGTAAAAAGGTGAATAACAGGTAAGAAACCAAGGGCAGTCGAAGCATAAGATGCAACACTATATTGCTATACTGCTGTTTCTACATGCTCAGATGCCTTTAATGGCAGGTCAAAACCGTGGACCAACACGCAGCCTTTAGCGCCCCTTTAAAACCTAAAGCAATGTGTAGCACAGGACAGCTTTAAAGTAGTTAGAGGAGTGGATTACTCCTCTGATCCCAACAGAAAAAAAACGTACACCCACATTCAAATAGTGCGACGTTACACAACATCTGAAGGCGTACTTTGTCACTGAATAAAAAAACAACCTTGAAGCCATGAGTAGTTAGGTTTTTTCTCTGGGGACCCACAAAAAATGACAAACCTTTGTGACATTAGGCATCTATAGATTGTGCCTAAAAGAAGGTCCCTGTCAATTATCATTGCCATGTCCAAATCACCTTATATTACCTTGAATATAACCCCCCCCACCCATTTGAAGGATGCCCAGCCTCCTCGTTCCTCCCCCCCCGGGCCTCCTCCTCCCCCGGGCCTGGCTGAGGACAGGGCGGCTGCTGCAGTAGACTCACCCTCATAACCCAACTGCTGGTTTAATATAGGACCAGCCTAGCCTGGGTATACCCATGCTGCCTTGCGCGCTCGAAATTTCGAACTGCCAAACAGCCTGGTGGCTATGACCGGTTCCTCACGCAAGAATTTGCTAGGCTTTGATATCCAATCACAGAACGAGGAGGGACGGAAAGACGATGACGTAGTAGTTGTAGTTCGTTCGTACGGATCCAACATGGTTTTTTGTCGCTTTACATACGTCATCTGGTATAATTGATGCGATTGGCTAAGAGCTACGAACAGACGCTTATGATAGACATTCGTAGCGCCCAATAAACGGCTCTGGACGATCGGGAACCACGCCTCCTCTACAGGAAAATGAATAGGTGGTAGCCAGACTACATCTCATTTGTGATTTAGTCTGGTGTTTTAGCCAGGCTAGGACCAGCCCAGAATTTAGTAAGGATAACTCAACCAAATGGGTAGCCAGTTTTAACTCATATGTTGGGTTACCGGTTTACTCAGAATGCTGGGTTATTTTAACTAAGCTGTTAGTTATATTAACAATACAGTTGAGTTGCTGTGCTAACCCGGTATTTGGGTTATATTGGTATTGGTATTATATTTGTTATTATGTATTTATTATGTATTAATATGTTTTATTCATTCTATTCTAAACAAGTGAGATGCAATAAAACATCAGTACAACATTACATATTTCTTACAAATATTTTTATTATTAATTAAAAAGGTTTACAACATATCAATCATACAAATATCTTATATTATATATGTTCATTAATAATCATACATATTTGTTTTAAAAAAATACAGAATCTTATACCTAGGATTTACATACATATTATCGTTAAAATAGATCAAAAATCAATGGTTTTATGTCTTTTAAGTTGATTAACAGAAAGTCTCTTGTCCTTTGCAACCGAAATGCATGTAAATGTTGAGTTGCAGATAAAATCAGTTCTGGTGCTGGAAATACCAGGGCCCTGTTCTCAGTGGTCAACAATTCTCTCCGCCCCCCTGATTTCTTTCCACCACACTTCTACTCCACTGACCACTGTAACTCCATAGTGGCATTCTTCGACTCTAAAATATCCACCATCCACCAGCAACTGACCCCTCACATGTCTAGTCACCCGCCTCCCTTTGTTCCCAATCCCCCCCTCTCCGTACCTCTCTCCTGCTTTCAACTCCCCT